TTTTGTTTTTTTTACCAAGCCATATTCTTCTCTCAATCCCACCTTTCAGGACCTGCCTGCCACGTCTACTAAGCCTACACAGGGGACCCCTGCAAGCATAGATACCTCTCACAATTAAGGGGATGTATGTTGCCCCCTTCCAGGCCCGTCCTTATCGGCGGTGGTCAGGGGGGGGGGGGGGGGGGGGGGGGGGGGTCGGGGGCTGGGCTAACAAAAGAACTGAGCATTTTGCCGGTAGCTGCACCTCCTATCTACTTCCCCTGCCCCCATAAAGCAACAGCAGTGCCCAGCACTCTCCACACACCACACAACCCACACACAAGCACATCCGTGATCGCCAAAGATCCTACCAATAGCCATGAGGGGGAGCAAGCCAATCTTGGTTGGTGGGCACCAAGAGTTCCGCGGGAAGTCACTGGGGATGCCACTTGCATGCCTAACCAACTGAGCTGGGCCGCGTGCTTGGTCGTCGACCCTTGAACCACCAGTACTTTCCCAGCCTTCTTTTCAGAGTGACTGTCATGGTTTGCATGCAGTGGCAACTCAGGCGCGCTGTTTTGCTGGATATCCATCCAGCCTGAGGCAAAAAGGGACACATGCGATCACTGACAGGCAAAAAGGGTCACATGTGAAGCCCATTTTGCCTGGATGGGGATGTCAGCCAAACGGTGCCGTGATACTTCCCCTACTACTTGACACCTTTCAACTTCTGCAGATCCCCCGGTAGCTCTGACTGTTGCAGACTTGGCGGCAAATTTTCTATGTTGCCCCTACAAGTACGGCACATCTTTTCTGGTTGCCCCTTCATCTGTTAAAAGCTCGCTGAGCCCATTCCCTGGTCTGAGGTGGCCCATACTGGAACGAAGCAGAAATGGCCATCTTTTCCTGATGCCCCAGTGGCCTTGTGATTCAGAAGTTGGTTGATGCCTTTTTTTTCTGAGTGGGCGTGGCCCATGCTCTCTCTCTCTCTCTCTCTCTCTCTCTCTCTCTCTCTCTCTCTCTCTCTCTCTCTCTCTCTCTCTCTCT